AGTTACCTCCTTTTAAACAGTGTCTGTCAACCAAGCCATGACACAGTGTTCTTGACTCCACATATAAAAATGGCAATCTTCGGATGACCATAACAATTTTTGTCCTTCACAACTATTAACACTAAATACTTACTCTATATTTAACAATACCCTGATGATGACATTATGCTGTGTTGAAAGTACTCAGAATAAACACAATATGAGCCAACATAGTGTTTTCCTCTCATCTTTTAACAACCATATGAAAAAGCTTATTTGCATATATGAAAGGATCCTATTGAATATAAGTAGACAGAATGTCTAAATTATTTAACGAAACTTTTCTTTCATTTTTATTTATATATATATATATATATATGTATATATATATATATATATATATCTCCTTTAAAAATTAGGAGATCAGTTGTTTCTGCTACCTTGGTTTCAACCTTACAGTAGTATCAGTGAATTTTTATCAATTGACCTTCTGATGCTTTACTTAAATACAAAAAAAAAAAATAAAAAACACTATATTATTTTTAAACAAATATATATACACACACACACACACAAATTTATTTCTTAAATGTTATTTTTATAGTTGTCCGTATTTGGGTAGATGCTCTGCTTTTATTTATTTATTTTCATCTACCAGCCTGAATATTCTAGAAATCTTGTTAGAAAAGTATATGCCTTCTGGCAGGATTCAAACTTGTATTCCATAGAGGAGACTGTCATTAGATTTGATGTGCATTGACCTCTCAGCCATGAAGAGCCTCCTGGTCAAACGAATCCTGAATAGTGCTTTTGAACACAAATTTTTTCCCATTCTCAAAATATACATATGTCCTCTCCTAACATGAAAAATCTATTCTTAAATATATGTTGATTGCTAACTTGTGTCCGAGTACGGCCATCACTAAATCTCTTTCTGGAGAATATCTACTGATGTGCTGAACGAATGTGGCTCTTTAACCCAGCAAGGGAGCTATACAGTGGTCGGATTCAAAAATTTCAAGAACAGGTTCTCTCAACAACAGGTCGCGGTAGCAACAGTTTCCCTCTTTCTTCCATAGTCTATACTTTACTATATAGATATGATTTAGGAATAAAGCAAATTTTTCTTGCATTTATTCAAAAATAGAAAAATTAATCCGCATTACGTTGCACATTATCATTTTGAAAGGAAAATAATTAAAAGAAATGTTTTAAAATTTTTTATTCATGATTTTTCCTTTTAAAAATTTCCTAATAACCAGTTGATTGTCATCATAGTCTTCAACTTTTTTTTTGCCTTACTCTCTTGTCATCAACACTGATTTTTTTTCCTAAGCCATGTTTTTAACGAAAGGGGTGGCATTCTCTAAATCTAAAGGGAGACTAATAAGATTATCATTAAGTTTCCTGCATTTTCCACTGTAAGGTGGCTTCTTTTATCTGAGTATATAATATCCATTCTTGAAAAACCTCTTTCTACCGCAGAAGAACTGATAGCAATCGCATTGATAATAGTTTTCACTATTTCAGCAGTTCAAATTTATATTAACCATTATTCATTCACCTGAATTTACATCCCCAACCAATTATGTGAATACAATCTAAAATTAGCAGTTTGTTTGTTCAGTTTGCTGCTAGTAATGAGTTTGTTGAGCTCATAAAATTCTAAGAACAGGCTTGCACAAACCGGCTGAATCCCACCACTGGAGCTACATACTCTGACACATAAGAGGCGTGTGTGTGTGTGTGTGTGTATATATATATATATATATATATATATATATATATATATATATATATATATACACACATATAAAACCAAGTATAGGATTGGTGTATACGGAATAAATTCCAATAGCCAAAAATACTATTCTTAAAAGAGTGCTCAATACAGAGTAGAACAACTATAATTTATTTGAATGTTCAACACCATCACTTGATAAGACACCAGAAATGTTGAAACAAAATGGCTATTTTTGTAGTGATTTTAAAAGATATTATTTGTTATAATTTTCGAATAAATTTTATACATATTCAGTTGGGTTTCGATCATAGCTAGAGGCAACCAGATGTCTAGCCACACTGATTAGCTGTGATACAGTGAAAGAGTGTCTGTGGATGACACACACACACATATATATATATATATATATATATATATATATAGGGTGTTCCAAAAGTCGCATTACCATTGATAACCTTGTAAATTTTATATTTATATAGAATCATGTTTCTTCATATGACAATATATTATTAAGAAATTTTATTGATTGAATTATGCAATACTATGTCATGCAAATTTTCCCTGGTTGCTATTTCAAAAGTCTGTTTTCTGCCAATTGTTGCATGACTTTTGGAACACCTTGTGTGTGTGTGTGTGTGTATATATATATATAATCATAGTTTATGGACATATCACATTGAAACAACGGTGGTTCTCGTCTGATCACTGGCGTTAAGTAGCATTGAGCCTGGTCAATACGTGGATGGGTGACCACTTGGGAATAACAAGTACTGTAAGCTTGGATGTTCAGTTGGTGTAATGGGTAACTTTAGAAATCCAAGGGCTGTCATTTTCCAACCATGTATGGATGACAAGTAAAAGTGCAGTTTTTTTTCTTATTTGTCCTTTTAAGGACACACACATTTTCTTCCTCATGCACTCAACTTGTGAGTAAAGTTCTGATTTTAGTGCATAAATTGAAATGAAGGAAATGTCTAATCCCAGCTCTCCTTTTTATTGATTAAATAACCTTTGACAAGAAAGCCTATTCATTCTCGTATCCAGTTCTTCTCCACTTACTCTTTTTTTTTTTTTTTTTTGTTTCTTCTTTTCTTATAAAAGGCTGAGAGTAAATACGGCTGAACACAGCACTTTCCTGTTTATAATGATGTATGAATATACCTGTTCGTGTGTGACAGGTATACTCTTAACTTTTATTCATATAGCTAGAAGCCAGATTGAAGTCAAAAATTGACATATCTCAGATTGAAATTTTATTTTATAATTCTATAAAGCAAACACATTTTTCATTATGTTATTATAAAAACATCTATACTCCATTATTAATAATATATTATAACTCTGCATCATGGGACAAGCTATTAAGCTCTGTTTGTTCCACTAGAAGATTTGTGATAATGTCAGGAATGTTATTAATTTATTTATCTCTGAATGCACTTATAATATTGAAAGCCACAATAAGAAAGAGAAAATTAATTGTTATTAAATGTTGATTAAGATTTCATTAAAAGCCAAATACTTAATATAGAACTGCTTCAGATAACATCTTTCAATTTTCAATGAGGATATATGAGTGTGTGCTTATATACATACATACATACAGGGTGTGGCAAAAGTAACGCTCTTTTGGGGGGGGGTCAAATTGAATTCTGGCCAAGAGTTAGAAATCAGAATTATATGATGCCAAGCCACCCCACTATAACCTACATGTTTTGGAATGTGTTTTTTTACAGTGGGATTCACTATGTACAAGGTCTGTGAGCCACTCGAGGTAGAGTATGAGACACAGTTTATGCGGGTATGTGGAGAAGATAAAGCTTAATTGTAGTGATCAGGAAAACATCCTCTTTGGACCTAACACCATCAGACATTTTCTTCTGAAAGACCTTGTTTACAGACTCAAACTGAAAACAATCCTTGAATTAAAAAAAATGTAATTTCTGGTGAATTTACTGTATAAATGTGTCGATGGTTTGTGGAAGTGTTGATAGGATACAGCATTGTATTGAACATGAAGGGGAGCATTTTGAACATGTTAAATAGGTTAATTATTTGTTTGTTAATCTATTTTTGTTCATTAAAAGTTAATAAATAAAAACAACATTACTTTTACCACACACGCACACACACACACACAAAAGTGAACATTGTAGTTAACATTCAGAGACTACAGACTGTTTCATGCTAAACACAATCATCAGGCCACATGCGTGCAATAAATTTATTTTATTTGTAAATTAATCCAAATAAATAAATAAAGTCAATAATAAACAAATTAACAAACTACTCCTGCCAATATAACCGTTACAATAAACTACATTAATCAATCCAGAAAACTGCAAAATCTGCTTAGAGGAAAAAACAGCTATAATTAACTTCCCAGACCAAAACAAACTACTAAATAAATGATCAGAACCCATCCCAAAATTTTTACTATGTTACTTAAAAATCAAAAACTGAAAAGAATAAATAAAAATAAACATAAGAAAAAACAAGTAAAATATATTAATTCAAATTAACAAACCCCTCCCACCAAAATAACCATTAGAATAGACTACCCACAATGCACCACTGACCCGTATATATGAATAGTCAAGAAAAAACACAATGCATGCGGCCTGATGATTGTGTTTAACATGAAACAATCTGTTGCCTCTGAGTGTTTACTTCATTTTTCACTTTAATATTTACATATGCTCCATCTCTGCTATATCCCATAAATATAGCATATCTTAAAATATATATATATATATATATATATATATATATATATATATATATATATATATCACATTGAGTGCTGGTAGTAATAAAACAGTGCTCAATGTATATTAACACTAAAGGATGAGGAACAAACCAGAATCTATCTATGTCTGCCATTGTCTATGCTTAGAGTATTGCTGCCACATATGGTCCAGTACCCATGCTATTTACATTGAGCTCCTTGGTAAAATCCAAAAAAAATCAGCAATTTTAACAGTACTGATCTGGTGTGTCAGCTTCAGTCACTTTTCCACTGCCATAAAGTTGCCTATAAATACTTTCATGGTGATTGTTCAAATAAACTCTTCCCTATGTTACCTAAACTTTTTGAATTTAAGCACTGTACTAGACTGGTGTTGAGATCCCATCAATTTACAGTTGAGCTGGCTAAGATGTAGCCATAAACTTAATGCTAACAGTTTTTCTAATACTTCTCACTTGTGGAACTCTCTTCTGGCTCCATGTTTTCTAACCAAGTTTAATCTCCAAAACTTTATATGAAGTGTTAATCACTATCTTCTGTCCTCCTGATTACTCTTTTCTCTTGCCACACATTAGTGATCTTTCTGTTCCTAATTCTTCCACATTCAGTATCCACTTGTGTCTTAGTGACTTTACTGACTTGCTTGGGGATAAGAGGCACTGTGGAGTAATAGATAGCAGCTCGGATTGAGGAATTGGAAAGCCAAGTTCAAATTCCACTCAAATCCATTACATTCACTTATGTGCTAATACCCTTGGGATAGGTATGAATCCTCTTCTCCCCCCCCAGCTATGGGTAAATAGCAGGACAGACTGGGTTCTATAGCCTTGGATGGCAACTGGTCTAGGAGAAGACAACTCTGAATTCAAGACCTGCGGAGGGACCTTATGGCACACGGTGCACCAGGTCTCTGTATTCGGCTCTTCAAAAAGCGTGTTTGGTTCTGCATAAAACCTTTACCACTAAAATTAAATCATATGTGCAGATTGTCTGGCTGTCAGTTCCTAGGAACTGAGGTGCCTGACCCTCACATGTCATAAAAAAAATAGTCCATGGTAGATGCAGGTCAACAGCCCACATTGATCAACACCAGGAGAGTCCACAGGAGAAGTAATTCTGTTAAGAATGGTGAAATATTAACCTATTTCACCTTTCTTAACAGAATTAATTCTTTCCCAAACACACGTACAGAACAGTATCAAGAAATCAAAAGAAAATGGTTGAATCCGTCAATACAGCAATATCTCCACACGTGACAGTAATTGATATAATTTCAGTTAACAGTATGAAAATAGCATTCTCTAATTTCTTCCAGTTGCTAAGGACATTTTGTTTTGTTATTTTTAGTTACTTTGTTTAATAAATTCATTTTGTTTTGCCTTGAGAAAGTCCACATCAAACAAAATGCGTTGGCAACTATTACAGTTTTCCTATTGTCTTTTACATTTATAAATTATACATACATACATACACACACACACACACACACACATATCTATATATATCTATATATATATATATATATATATATATATATATGAAATATATTTCAAAGAAATTTCTAAAGAAGTAATGGAATTAATTATCTTATTAAAGAAATATCCTGCTGGAGGAGGCTTTTTTTTTTTTTTTTTTTTTTTTTTTTTTTTTTTACAGTAAGGTTCACCCAGTATAAGACCCAGAGGCCACTCAAGGCAAAAGGTAACAATAAGGCATAGCTTATATGGATAGGAAGGGAAGATAATGGTTGACTCTAGACTTGAACAAGTTAAGATTGTAGTGATCAAGGAAACATACACTTGAGTCTGTTCCTTAGGGCAGTGGTTCGCAGGAAGAAGCTGTTTGAGTGGAACTTACTTCTTGCTGATGGAATGCAGAGGGAATGTGGGTGGCTTGATAAGTTAAGATTTCTCAAATTAATGGGCTGGTAGACTGAAATAAATATACTGTTTAAAAAAATAAATGAGCATCTACTCAAATAAGATGGTATAAGGGTATCCACTAATAATAATCTTTAAAATATATATATATATATATATATATATATATATATATATATATATATATATATATATTTATATATATATAAAAATTTAATTTTTGTCAAAAATAAAATAAAAGTATAAAAATTTAATATTACAAGACATATTAAAACAGTATTAAATAATAAAAATAAAAAACCTCAACAACAAGGGGAATATTCTTATTTACATTCCCGTTTTCCCTTGTTTTAATTTCAATCTCCTTGAAATTAAAACAAAAAATGTACAAAACCGGTTGCTATTGTTGAGGTTTTTTTTTGTTTTTTATTATTTAATACTGTTTTAATATGTCTTGTAATATTAAATTTTATACTTTTATTTCAATCATATATATATATATGGCTTGTTAATTTTAACACCTCCAGAAAGAAACTGCTCTATATCAATCACCTTCCATTAGCTTAGCTGATGCTAACCTCCAGGAGAGTGACTCATTGCAACTTCTCAGGCTAATATTTTCCACTGATATGAAGTGGAAAGATTATATTGAATCAGTTGCTAGGTCTGCTGCTAGAAAAGTTGGTTCACTGTGACGTGTTAGACAATTTTTCTTACAAGAATCTATCTTGCATATTTATAAGTCTACCATTCATCCATGCTTTGAATATTGCTGTCACATCTGGTTTGATGTTCCTGCTATATATTTAGAGATTTTAATAAAATCCAAAGAAGGATCTGCAATTTTAATGGTCCTGACTTGGCTCCTCAGCTTCAATTACCTTCCCACTGCCATAACAGTTTTCCTGTACCTTTTCTATAAATACTTTAAGGTAATTTTGATCAAATTTCCTCCATGGTATCAAGACTTTATGAATTTAAGTGTACTACTAAATTGTCACCAAGTTCTCATCATTTTACAGTTGAAATGGTTAGATGTTACTCTAAGGTCTATGGTAACAGTTTCTTTTCTCTCACAATTCACTTTTACTTTCCAGTGAACTTTGATCTTAAAAAATTTAAATGCAATGTCAATTGTTATCTACTTTCTT